ATTGTCAGTTGGATCCAGATTAGACTGAATTTCTATCTTTTTTGCAAGACTATAAGTGGTGCTGAGTTCTTTCATCAGGTGACGTGTAATGTCTGGTTGTGTCTCCTTTTGTGATTTTAGCAGCTGTTAACGTTGATTCTCATTTCCTAGATCAATTAATTCATAGAGTGTTGCAAAATGATTATAATCTAATTCTATCATTTTATTTCATTTATTAGTTGGGATGTTGGATAATTTTAAGAAGAGATGCTTCCCTGATCTATTATTTGGTTACCTAGTTGCACAGTTTCTATACGAAAAGAGGTATATATGTTTGATTCTTTTCCTTTTTTATCCATTTTCAGATGATAAATTGGTCCCCTGACTTCATTCAAGGTGGCCAATTTTTAAATATCACCATTGAATTTAAAAACTCAAACATACTTTGTGGGTTTTAATTTGTTGCATTTTTTATTGTGGCAAAATACATATAACAAAATTTACCTTTTGAACCATTTTAAGTATACAGTTTTATGGCATTAAGTATCCACTGCATTTTAATACTTACTGAAGCTCTGTTCCATTTTTAGAAATCTCTGCTGTTTTTTAAAATCTTTAAATATTTCCTAGCCTAGAGCCTTTTGAATGAAATTAGGGGAACCTTGTTCCCACATTTGCTTTCCTCTTATGTCCTTACTTCCCAATCAGCACAAGCAAACATGAGCCAAAGTGAGAAGTGAAACACCCCACCTTGCAGATGCTGTCTGCAGTGTCACAAGTTATGACTCACATTTAGCCCAGAGATTGTTGCCAGAGTTAGCAGGAAGAAGACAGGCTTTCTAAGTGTGCCAAGGCTGAGGTTTTAAAATTAATACAGTTTAAACATTAATGATGTTTAAATCAGAGCTGAATTACTTCTGTCCCACTCACGGGCTTTATTAAAATTCACCACTGTATTTTTAATGTATAAAAATATTTGAGTTTCAAATACTTTAACTTTTTTTTTTTTTTTTTTTGGAAAATATGTGGATGGAGAGCTTTCCCTTTGAACTTTAACCCAGACTTTGGCAGCTGAGGAGACAGCTGCAGAAAACTTGCACAATACAGTTGAATGGACAAGATGTCCTGACGTTTATTCATTTCTCTCCTTTTGAGTTAGTTGGTTCCCTATTTTTATTTTCCCCCATCTTCATTCTGGGCTTACCCACTCAGTTGGACAAACAGTTGGGAATCCAACTGACAGGTATATGTGGAAGCATTACAAGTTTCTTTTCTAAAGTCTTCAAGAAAAATTTTCATAAAGAAATCAAAGCCCACATATAAATAAATTTCAGCAAAGTAGGAACAATATCCACAAGAGTCAATATATGGCTGTTTTGGATATAAGGAAGCCTTGTATCACGTGTCATCCCATAATGCTTTAAAAAATGGGATACACCTGGCTGGGCGCAGTGGATCACATCTGTAATCCCAGCACTTTGGGAGGCCGAGGCGGGTGGATCACAAGGTCAGGAGTTCGATATCAGCCTGGGCAACATGGTGAAACCCCATCTCTACTAAAAATACAAAAATTAGCCGAGTGTGGTGGCAGGCGCCTGTAGCCCCAGCTACTCGGGAGGCTAGGCAGGAGAATTGCTTGAACCCGGGAGGCAGAGGTTGCAGTGAGCTGAGATTGTGTCACTGCACTCCAGTCTGGGTGACAGAGCAAGACTCCATCTCAAAAAAACAAAAAAAGTAGGATACAGCCAAGTATGCCAGTGCTGGGACACCGCTATCTTAACAAGTACTGAGGAGGTAGAGGAAAGCTTACTTAGAGTAACAATGACAGGAGATTGATGGCCATGTCAAATGAAATGGCATTTTCAAGCCTACCTACTGAAAATGAAAAGTAAATAAATAATAATTAATTCATTGACAAATATTTCTTTCTTTCTTTTTTTTTCTTTTTTGAGACATAGTCTTGCTCTGTTGCCCAGGCTGGAGTGCAGTGGCACAATCCCGGCTCACTGCAACATCCACCTCTTGGTTTCAAGCAATTCTCGTGCCTCAGCCTCCTGAGTAGCTGGAACGCCAGGTGCCTGCTACCACACCTGGCTGATTTTTTTATATTTTTAGTAGAGACAGGGTTTTACCATGTTGGCCAGGCTGGTCTCAAACTCCTGGCCTCAAGTGATTCACCCTCCTCGGCTTCCCAAAGTGCTGGGATTACAAGTGTGAGCCACCACGCCCAGCCTCATAAACAAATATTTTTGAAGTGCCAATTATATACTGAGCTCTGTGCCTGGTGCTGGGAATATAGCTATGAAAGGTTCTCATGGATCCAGTGGTTGAGAAGGGGGAGTAAACCAGTATCAAGAACTGTGAAGGGTCTGAGATTTTATCCTACTTGCAAGGTAATAAGATAACTTGTCACGGTTTCGTGGATGTGGGCAGAAAACAAGAGGTTCTTGGGTCAAAGGTGAAGGATTTCATTACTCATGACACAGCAAGCAGTACATGCATGAGCACATTTATATCAGTTCCCTGTGTCTCCCAAATCTGATGATGGTGATGTGGATGTGCTCAGATGAATGTCTGCACACACAGTGGATTGCATGAAAGGAGAAAAATACTGGAGTTAGGGAATCTGAATTTTTTATAATAAGTGGTGAACATGCTTGCCCTTTACTCTGGAGGGAGATACCATCACAAACATCCTTAAAAAGATAGTCTGGAACAAGCAAATGGCAGTCTGGATCAGATGTGGATGAGCTTAGCCAAGAGGCAGGGTTGTTTAGCTGGCCTGCAGTTGACCCCAGACATGTAAGCAATAAACACTCTGTTTATCTCTGAGGTTTTGTGGTTGTTACATGATGTTATTATAGCAATAAACAACTGATACCATCACAGATGACTTCTTAATTCCACAATCTAATTTCTCTTTTCTGTTGTAACCAAAAATTTCTGAAGTACAGATATTATCAGATCACTTTACTGTCTAAAAGCCTTTGGCTATAGACTGCAATCCAAACTGAAATCCAAAGTCCTTGGTGGTCTGGTCCCTATTTTCTTTTTATTTATTTAATTAATATATTTTAGCTGACAAACAAAAATTGTGTATATTTATGGTATACAACATAATGTTTTGCCCATTATTTTTTCAACTTCACCCTTTACCTCTTATTCCTCTCATTGTATTTCACTCTCATTCTCTTTCTGCTTCTGGCTTTCCACTCACATAGACCACACAAATTTCCCTGCACTTAAGGAAAACAAAATCTCTAGAATACTTTTTAAGATTATAAAAGTTATTCATTCAGTCTGGGCACCATGGCTTACGCCTGTAATCCCAGCACTTTTGGAGGCAGAGCCGGGTGGATCACTTGAGGCCCGAGACCATCCTGGGCAACATGGCAAAATCCCGTCTCTTTTAAAAATACAAAAATTAACCCCGTGTGGTGGCGCATACCTGTAATCCCAGCTACTTGGGAGGCTGAGGCACGAGAATTGCTTGAATCCAGGAGGCAGAGGCTGCAGTGAGCTGAGATGGCACCACTGTACTGCAGCCTGGGTGACAGAGTGAGACTCTGTCTCAAAAAAAAAAAAAAAGCTATTTATTCATTTTAGTAAATCTGAAATGTATAGGAATGTACAAAGAGCATGACTCAGGGCAATCTTCCCTCGAGGCTTTTGTTCCCCCAGTTCTTTTTGCATATATAGTGTATGCTAATATCAGACTCTTTTGTTTATCATCACTAGGTGTGAAGGTATTTTCTATTTAGAAAATCTGGAGGAAAAGAAACACCATTAATACTTTTAAAAGACAAATGAGCACTTAAGAACTATGATAGACAAGGAGCTAGTATCTTTACCATATAAATGGTTCCTACAAACCAATTAATAAATATACAGTAGGCCCTCCCTATCCATGGGTTCCGTATCTGTGGATTCAACAAACTTTGGGTCACAAAAATTGGAAAAAAATCATCAAAAAATTACAATACAAGAATAAAAAGAAGACAAATTAAAAACCCATATGGTATAACAACTGTTTACATAGCATTTAGACTGTATTAGGTATTTTAAGTAATCTAGAGATGATTTAAAGTATACAGGAGGATGTTGTAGGTTATATGCAAATACTACACCATTTTATCTCAGGGACTTGAGCATCTACCGTGCAGTTACCAAGGAACAACTGTATATACATTAGAGGGGGCAAAGAATAAGAACAGACAACTCCCAAATAACTACAAATGACCAAAACACAAAACAAAAACACATTTACCTTTAAAGGTGCAAATTACAACAATGTACATATGTTTTGCTTATAAGATTAGCTAAGTTAAAAAAACAATAAATCTGAGTGTTAGCAGGGGTGCTCTCAAACCCTGCTGGTTTATGTGGAAATTGTCATAACCTTTCTGGAGGGCAATGTGGCATGGTTTGTTAAAAGATCTATAAGGTTCTGACCCTTTGATCCTATTATTCTACCTCTAGCAATTTATCATAAAGAAATGATCAGTTATGTGTGTACAGAGATGTTCACTGCAAGGCTGTGTAATGGAAAGCAAGTAGAAATGACAGAATTTCCAAGGGGAAACTGAATATTTAATCAAGGTACATTTAATTGACAGGTTACTTTCTGATCATGAAAATATGAAGTAGAGCTATATTTATTGACATGGAAAGATGCAAAAACACAGTTAAGGCCGGGCGGAGTGGCTCATGCCTGTAATCCCAGCACTTTGGGAGGCTAAGGCAGGTGGATCATGAGGTGAGGAGTTCAAGACCAGCCTGGCCAAGATGGTGAAACCTTGTCTGTACTAAAAATACAAAAATTAGCCAGGCGTGGTGGTGTGCACCTGTAATCCCAGCTACTCAGGAGGCTAAGGCAGGAGAATCGCTTGAACCTGAGAGGTGGAGGTTGCAGTGAGCCGAGATTACGCCACTGCACTCCAACTTGGGTGACAGAGTGAGACCTCCATCTTAAAAAAAAAAAAGAAAAGAAAAGATAGTTAAGTGAGGAAAGTGGAATATGGAACAGAATATTTTTCGTAGTCACCTCCATACATATCTATTTCTTTAAAGATTATCTGAATACTGGTATTTCTTTAAAGAATACACCAAGATATACTGCATAATCTCACTGATATGTGGAATCTAAAAAAGTTGAACTCATAGACGTAGAGATTAGAATGGTGGTTATAAGAGGCTGAGATGTGGGTGTGTGGGGAAAGGAGATGTTAGGAAAACGGTACAAAGTTTCAGTTAGACGGGAGGAGTAAGTTCTGGTGATGCATTGCACAGTATGGTGATTATAGTTAACAATACATATTTCAAAATTGTTAAAAAGGTAGATTTTATTTTTTTTTATTTATTCATTTTGAGACTGATTCTCACTCTATCACCCCGGCTGGAGTGCAGTGGCGTGATCTCGGCTCACTGCAACCTCTGCCTCCCGGTTCAAATGATTCTCATGCCTCAGCCTCCCCAGTAGCTGGAATTACAGGTGCCCACCACCACGTCCGGCTAATTTTTGTATTTTTAGTAGAGATGGGGTTTCACCATGTTGGCCGCACTGGTCTCAAACTCCTGACTTCAGGTGATCTGCGCCCCTTAGCCTCCCAAAGTGCTGGGATTACAGGTGTGAGCCACTGCACTTGGCCCAAAAAAGGATAGAATTTAAATGTTCTCACCACAAAATAATAAGTATGTGAGGTGATAGATACATTAGCCTGATTCACTCATTTCACAATGTTTATATGTATCATAACATCACACTGTACCTCATTACTTGTCAATTAAAAATAAAAGTAACAAAAAGAATATACCAACATATTATGAGTGGTTATTTCTCGGGGATAGATTTATGATAGTTTTAATTTTTTTTCCTGAATTTTCACTTTTTAATTTATCTAAAATGGGTCAGGTGTTGTGGCTCACGCCTGTAATCTCATCACTTTGGGAGGCTGAGGCAGGCAGATCACCTGAGGTCAGGAGTTTGAGATCAGCCTGGCCAATATGGGGAAACCCGTCTCTACTAATAATAAAAAATTAGCTGGGTGTGGTGGTGGGCGCCTGTAATTCCCAGATACTCAGGAGGCCAAGAAAGAAAAATCCCTTGAACCTGGGAGGCAGAGGTTTGCCGTGGGCCAAGATCATGTCACTGCACTCCAGCCTGTGCGATAGAGTGAGACTCACTCTCAAAAAAAAAAAAAATTTATCTGAAATGAAATATGAATTACTTGTGTATTTAATTAGGAAAATGGAGGATTGATTAGCATCTTCTTTTAGTTATTTTTATTATGTTTTATTACATTTCTTGTTTGCACTTAGAGCCAGCATAATAGGAGATAAGTTCAGAACATTGTTGGTTGTGTTTGGATGAGCTCCTGATACCAGGCTGGTTTATAATTACTCTTGTGAGAATCTTCCTTTGCTCATAGTCTTTGTTTTGTTTTTGTTTCTGTCTTTTTGAGATAGGGTCTCACTCTATCATCCAAGCTAAAGTGCAGTGCAGTGGCGTAATCACGGCTCACTGCAGCCTCGACCTCCCAAGCACAAGTGATCCTCCCGCCTTAGCTGCCCAAGTAGCTGAGACTACAGGTGTGCACCACCATGCCCAGCTAATTATTGTATTTTTTGTAGAGATGGGTTTTGCCATGTTGCCCAGGCTGGTCTTGAACTCCTGACCTCAAGAGACCCTCCTGCCTTGGCCTCCCAAAGTGCTGGGATTACAGGCATGAGCACCCACACCCAGCCCTGCTCAAAGTCTTTGGGTGGCAGCCTGGGCCAGGGAGACCTGATCTCTGTGAAGGACTTAAAACACCCCCACCTATGGCACCTGTTCAGAGATTCCCAGTGTGACTTAGATCAAGCACAGTTCATTTGACAAAATTTTTGATTTGTAAGTTTGCTTGCTAAAGAGGGAAGGGTTTTTTTTTTTTTTTTTTTTTTTTTTTTTTTTTTTTGAGACAGGATCTTACTCTGTTGCCCAAGCTGGAGTGCAGTGGCGTGAGCATAGCTCACCGTAACCTTGAACTCCTAGGCTCAGGCAATCCTCCCACTTGGGCTCAAGTGATTCTCACACCTCAGCCTTCCTAGTAGCTAGGACTACAGGCATACACCACTGTGTCTGGCTGATTTTTTATTTTTATTTTTGTAGAGACACTATGTTGCCCAGATTGGCCTCAAACTCCTGAGCTAAAGTGATCCTCCTGCGTGGGCCTCCCAAAGTGCTGGGATTACAGGCAAAAGCCACAGTGCCTGGTCGAAGAGGGAAAGATTTAAAAATTAAATACACAATGGCATGGATCCCAAAGGCTCAAATAGGATTCACCATGGGAACGCTTTGATGTAGAAACCACACTCTACCTTCTTATAGACTTCCTATATTCATGATCTACCATCGTCTAACAAATTACTCCAAAACTTAGTGGTTTAAAACAACGATAATCATTTATTATCTTTTATGGTGTCTTTGAATCAGGGATTCAGGGAAGGGGCAGCAGAGACAGCTTATCTCTGCTCCACAATGTCTGGACCTCAGCTGGGAAGACTCAATGTTTGCAAGCTGGAATCATCTGAGGGCTCACTCATATATCTGGTGGCTGATGCTGACTGTCAGCCAGCACATCTACACACTGTGGTCTTCCCATGTGGCCCAGACAGCACGATGGCTGGATCCAAGAGCAAGTGTCCCGAGAGCGTGTGCAGTGGAAGCTGTGTCCTTTATACAACCTAGCCTTGGAGGTCATGTTAACGTCATTCCACTATACTCCATTGGTCAGAGCAGTCACAAGCCTCTGCCCAGATGTCAGAGGAGGGAACATAGACCCCATTCCTCAGTGGGAGGGGTGTCAGTGTCACACTGAAGGAAGAGTATGTGGGGTGGGATAGACACATTGATGCAACCATCTTGGGAAAATACAACCTGGCACACTTCCCAAATTTCAACAGGAACTCACCAAACATCTTGGATCTATATTTTTCAAAAAGAAATGAAAATATCAGAGGACTTTCTTTCCTCCCTTCTTTCCCTCTACCTTTACCTCCCTTCTTCGTTCCCTCCCTCCTTCCCTCTCATTCTTCCTTCCTTTCAGTTATAGACAGCATAACCATCAGTGAGTTATTGTTTCACAGTGTGAAGTCTGGCCAGCAGGGTCATTTTGGTGGTCTGCCTGGGGGCTCCTAAGGTTTTATTTTTTTAGACGGAGTCTCACTCTGTCGCCCAGGCTGGAGTGCAATGGCACAACCTCGGCTCACTGCAACCTCCATCTCCTGGGTTCAGGTGATTCTCCTGCCTCAGGTTCCTGAGTAGCTGGGATTATAGTTGTGCACCACCATTCTTGGCTAATTTTTGTAGTTTTAGTAGAGACAAGGGTTAGTAGAGACAAAGGTTTCACCATGTTTGCCAGGCTGGTCTCGAACTCCTGACCTCAAGTGATCCGCCTGCCTTAGCCTCCCAAAGTGCTGAGATTACAAGTGTGAGCCACTGCACCTGGCCTCTCTGATTTTATTTTTGCTGTGTTTTTATTTTATTTTCCACATCACCACATTCTTCATGCTATAGAGACAGGAAGGCTCTCTTCTCAAAGAATCCTTTGTCATATCTTGCCTAATTATTTCCAAGAAAGATTTTATAACATTAAAAACATTAGAATTGGGACAATATTTTTATTTTACTATATCCCAGGCACTGTTCCAAACAGACCCTTTACAAATATTAACTTGCTTAATCTTCATAACATTATTCTGAAAATACAGATGGGAAAACTGAGGCACAGAGAAGTAACATGCCCGAGATCACAAAGTTATCACACGGCAGAGACAGGTATCAAACTCAGGGCATCTGGCTCCTAAATCTATATTCCGTTTTTTGTTTTTTTTTTTAAATTCAAGTAAGTGACTACTATTAGCCTTTATTGTTCTCTTTCTTTCTTTCTTTCTTTCTTTCTTTCTTTCTTTCTTTCTTTCTTCTTTCTTTCTTTCCTTCTTTTTTTTTTTTTTTTTTTGATGGAGTTTCATTCTTGTTGCCCAGGCTGGAGTGCAATGGTGAAATCTCGGCTCACTGCAACATCCACCTCCTGGTTTCAAGCGATTCTCCTGCCTCAGCCTCCCAAGTAGCTGGGATTATAGGCGTGTGCCACCATACCCAGGTAATTTTTGTATATTTAGTAGAGATGGGATTTCAGCATGTTGGCCAGGCTGGTCTGTAACTCCTGACCTCAGGTGACTCAGCTGCTTCAGCTTCCCAAAGTGCTGGGATTACAGGTGTGAGCCACCATGCCCAGACTAAATCTATATTCTTGACTGCCATGTTATGTTGCCTCTCTATCATTATTCTACTCCATTGGCTCCTTAACTTGAGCAACAAGAAACATAGCCTCTGAGCCAGGTGTGGTGGTGCACACTTGTAATCCCAGCTACTGGGGAGGCTGGGGTGGGCGGATCGCTTGAGTTCAGGAGTTTGAGGCTGTAGTGAACTATGACTGCATTACTGCACTCCAGCCTGGGCAACAGAGTGAGACCCTCATTCCTAAAAAGAAAAAAAGAAATGAATGGTTTGTGGAAAATCAAGAGCTCTCAGATGTATAAAACAATGGGTTGCTGGCTGGGCATGGTGGCTCACGCCTGTAATCCCAGCACTTTGGGAGGCAGAAGCAGGCAAATCTCTTGAGGTCAGGAGTTTGAGACCAGCTTGGCCAACATGGTGAAACCCCACCTCTATGAAAAATACAAAAATTAGCCGGGCATGTTGGCGGGAGCCTATTATCCCAGCTACTAGGGAGGCTGAGGCATAAGAATCGCTTGCACCTGGGAGACGGAGGTGTGGTGAGCCAAGATAGTGCCACTGCACTCCAACCTGGGTGACAGAGCGAGACTCTGTCTCAAAATAATAATAATAACAATAATAATAATAATAGGTTGCTAGGGAAATATTCCTGGATACCTGGGACAGGCCCAGAAGGAGGGGTTTGTACCAGCCCCCATCCTGCCCCGCCTTTGCCCCTCCCTGCCTTAGTAAGTTCACAAGGAGCGGCACCCCTGCCTGAGGCTGCCCTCTGGCTGGCCTAACTACACTTAACAATTCTCTGCCCCAGATGAGGGATGGTAGTTTGCTAGATCTAATGTGGTGAAATATACAAGAAATTCAAAACATCTTGTTAATATTTAGTAATATTTTTCACACAGAGCTCCTTTAATGGGATATTGTTGCCTCTGTATTGCAGTTAGAGAGACAAAGAGATTTAGAGTGACTTCCTTATATCACACAAAGGACTTCTGAGAAGTGAACAAAGTTCTGCAGACATGAGGCTTCTGACTTTTACCACTGCCAAGTAATCTCCCCTACACAGCCTTTCCCAACAATATCAGGTTTCCTTGGGTAAGTAGGAGGCTGCTGGTGAGTCTAATCACTTGGGACATCTTAATAACTGAAGTCACATTGGAGGGAAAACTCATAAAGACGCTGTGGGTGATTGAGGGCATCTTCTCAGAAATCTGGCTCCAAACATGTGTGTTGCCACATATTTGGAATTCTGAGACGAGAATGCAGAAGCATTTCAATCAAAATATCAGTGAAGTTTATCTGATTCTTCTAATACAGCGTTTTCAAAGAAGGAGCAAGTGCTCCAGTCGCTGAAAAGCACCGTTTATTCAAAACAGTAAATGAAGTATTTGTTACTGGCAAAAACAAAGACATAATATGGATCTCAGGGCAGACTTTCAGGAAGCCAGGGGCAGAGGAGAGAAAGGAAAGAAGAACTAAAAGAAAAAGCTTAGAAAAATACGCAGTTTGGTCTTGGACCTTTGCCAGGAAAAGCTGGGTAATGAAGGATTAAAAGCGAAACAAAATGAAAAGGAAATAAGGGTAAAGAAAGGGCCACAGGAATAAAGAGCTGGTGATGTCTTCAATATAAATGAAAAGATCCCAGTCTTGTTGTGAGTTAGGAGTGTGGCCGTGGGGGATGGCAACAGCAGGCTGAGGTCAAACTCAGGGTAAAAAGAAAAAAAAATTAAAAACCCCAGCAAATCAGCAAGCAGAGGGGAAAAGATGAGTAAGTAGCCAGAATAGAAAGAGAAAGGAAGCACTTTTAACAGGAAGCTGACCAAAATAGATACGCACAGTGCCATCTGAAGGGAAAGGGGGAGAAGGGACCATTAACACCATATAAACTTAGGAATTTGAGGAGAGGTGATTTTAAATATTAAAAAACAGAGGCCCCAGCCAACATGGTGAAACCCCATGTGTACTATGTACTAAAAACATAAAAATTAGTCGGGCATGGTGGGGGGTGTGGTGGCATGCACCTACAGTACCAGCTACTCGGGAGGCTGAGGCGGGAGAATCGCTTGAACCTGGGAGGCGGAGGTTGCAGTGAGCTGAGATTGTGCCACTGCGCTCCAGGACACAGGGAGACTCCGTCTCAAATAAACAAATAAAACAAAAAACAGAGGCCCTTCGAATGACCTGCAGATTCTATCCCTGTGAATTACAGAGGACGGAGGCTCTGGATGGTGTCACAGGAACGGTTGGCTACCATATTTTCCATCCCAGAAGTCAGCCAATTTCAAAGCCAGTGGACAGGATCATAATCACTGTTTTTTAAGTGCTCTAAAGGCCTAGGGTGGCCATCAGCAGGGCAAGAGGATGAGGGGATGTGTGAGGCCATGGAGGCATTGGGATGGATGCGTGGTTTGGTTGGGAAGAACCCCTGACCACCTGGCTGCAAACATCACAGTAGAAGCCTTGCCTGACCGTGGTCTCAAAAACCTTCATCTCCTACTGCTAGGCCGACTTGATGTCCATCTGTTGGTGCAGCCTTCTCTCAGCTCTAGGACAAATTCTGGCCTTAGCTGGACTATCTCAGGAGCCCTAGCCCCAGCCGCATATGCTGGGACCCAGAGCCAGGGCATCCGTGCTGCTTACATTGTCTTGACCTTGGGGTTTTTGTTTCCTTAACTGGAAGCTACAGTTCTACATGTTCTTAGCTACAGTTCTACTCTTGACCCTCTCTGGGTCTTGGATTTGTTCCTTGTATTTAAGGCCATGCCTTAGGCCCCTGTCTGCCTCCTAATACCCTCTAAGGCTGGGGGTCCTGACTTAGTCTTGGCAGGCTGCTTTCCATAATCCAGAGTCCTGCCAAAACTCCTTCCTGGTGATTGGCTCCAACTACTGGAGACAGATGACTCTGTCACCCACTGCCCGTCTGTCCTCTTGGCTCTCTAAGCATTGCTTAAGCCTGGATTTCCATCAGATGCTCTGAGCACCTTTAGGGAATTCTGTTCATGTATCTTTGGCCTTCCTAATGCTGCCTATGTCCCACGGTCAGCTGTCTTTGCCATAGCTGTCAGATGCCATGGGCTGTCTGCTATATCGGACTGCTCTCGGTTCAGAAGCTGGGTCTATGCCCCATGTCCCTGCAGCTGTGCCCGTCTCACTAGCATCTGTGCTATTCTGGAGGCCGAGAGGAGGGTGGTTTGAGGTGCCAGTACTTCCCAGCATGCCCCATCTTACTGCAGCCCACTTGGTCATTATCAGGGGTCTTCTGGACTTAAAAAAATAGAAATAAAAAATAGCTTGTTTTAGTTTCTTCAAAAATAATTTACCAGAAGTGTTGTATATTTAACTCCACTGGAGCCAAGAAGAAAGTAGAAAAGACATGTTTAGAATTCAGAGGCCGGGTGCGGTGGCTCACACCTGTAATCCCAGCACTTTGGGAGGCCAAGGCAGGCAGATGGCTTGAGCTCAGGAGTTTGAGCCCAGCCTGGCCAACATGGTAAAACTCCATCTTTATGAAAAATACAAAAATTAGTCAGGCGTCACGGCGGGTGCCTGTAGTCCCCACTACTCGGGAGGCTGGGGCGGAAAAATTGCTGGAACCCAGGAGGTGTAGGGTGCAGTGAGCCGAGATCATGCCACTGCACTCCAGCCTGCGCGACAGACCTACTCACATTCCCTTGGCACTCACTCTTCCAGTATAAGACTAAGGTCTCCAACACAAGCACCTGTGCCTCTGCCTGTGCACTGGCTCTCAGCTGCGGGCAGGGCAGGCAGGAAGTGCCAGAGAGTCAACACCCCTGGCAGCAGCCCTCAGCCAGAGATGGAGAGGAGTTTAGGATAAATACCGTGTGTGTGTGTGTGTGTGTGTGTGTGTGTGTGTGTGTGTGTGTGTGATGTATGACTAAACCCCAAAGTCTGATCTACACTTTCTCCCAGAGCTCTCCGGTGGATGGTGCCTCGGTTGCCCATAACTGTAACATGTTTTATAACTCACCCTTTCAAGCTTCCCTTCTCTTTCTTGTCTCATTTTCCCACTCTCTTACTGGTGTTTCCTGAGAGCATCTCACTCCACGCCCCCCAAATTTGTGCTCATATCCTTGTCTTGTGGTCTGCTTCTAGGAGAATCCAAGCTAAGACAAGGAGTTTCATATTCAAGGTTAAGGATCTAATCATTTTTCTGAGAAGGCACACTTGCTTTGAACACTATTGTAATACTGTAATAGACGTCTCTTCCCTTCCCTCTCCTCCCCTCCCCTCCCCTCCCTTCCCCTCTCTCCCTCCCTTCCTCTCTCTCTCTCTCTCTCTGTCTCTCTCTGTCTCTCTCTTTCTCCCTCTTGTTCTTTCTTGTCTCAGTCTGTTGCCCAGGCTTGAGTGCCATGGTGAGATCTTGGCTCACTGTAACCTCTGCCTCCCGGGTTCAAGTGATTCTCAGGCCGGGAGCAGTGGCTCAAGCCTGTAATCCCAGCACTTTGGGAGGCCAAGGCAGGTGGATCACGAGGTCCAGAGATTGAGACCATCCTGGCCAACATGGTGAAACCCCGTCTTTACTAAAAAATACAGCAAAAATTAGCTGGGCATGTTGGCTCGTGCCTGTAGTCTCAGCTACCTGGGAGGCTGAGGCAGGAGAATTGCTTGAACCTGGGAGGTGGAGGTTGCAGTAAGCCGAGATCGTGCCACTACACGATCTGCCTGGTGCCTGGCAACAGAGCAAGACTCTGTCTCAAAAAAAAAAAAAAAAAAGTGATTCTCTGCCTCAGCCTCCCAAGTATTTGGGATTACATGTGCCTGCCACCACTCCCAGCTAATTTTTGTATTTTTAGTAGAAATGGGGTTCCACCATGTTGGTCAGGCTGGTCTCAAACTCCTGACCTCAAGTGATCCTCCCACCTCGGCCTCCCAAAGTGCTAGGATTACAGGTGTGAGCCACTGCACCCAGCCCTGTAATAGACTTTCTATGATACATTATGGTAGAGAAAAATACCAAAGTTCTCTGTGAACAGCACTTCCTACCTGGGTTACACAGACTCTAGTGGCTTTTGAGATATTAATTGGGGCTATGAGAATTGGAGATCAGATACACTTAGGTTAAACAAAGTTAAGCAAGTTTCTTCACTTCAGCACTCCTATAGTTTTTAGGAAATTAATGGGCTTTGCAAATTGCCAGAAATGCAGGCAAAACTTCCTTCTCTGT